GAGTCACATAGATCTGGATGTTAGAGATAAACATGCTACTGCTGATAATTTCATAACAGGTGTTTCTCTTTTCTTCTTGTCTCTGACAGTTACCCGGCTGTATGTGAATTCTTACAGCACAATAACTTGTTATCTATACTCCGAGCCCATGAAGCCCAAGATGCAGGGTGAGCATTTTGAGGGTCTGTGAAAACCATGCAGCGCCCCTTTGCCAGAACTTCCTCATTTTGCTCAGGCTGTGCAGGCCCCCTTTTCCCAGACTCATGCCCACAAGGAATTAGGTCTTAAAATTGTCTTCTGATGGATGACACAGGTATGGCAGAGTCCTGGGGAATTGGTGGCTGCAGATATGTTGTAAAGTTCCCTTTAAGGTGCTTCCATCTTGAACTTGAGCAAGCCACTTTCCAACTTGTTTTCTTAAACATTGTAAGGGAACCTTCTTTTATTTCTCTCTGTCCTGCTTTTACCCCAGCCCTGCAAATGAGCAAATTATCAGCTACTTCTCTGCCTTGGTGGGTAATAAGAATAAGAACTTAAAACATTTAACACATCACACGTTGTACTCAGCCACATATGCATAAATGTATTTGTGATATATGTGTATATGACTTAATAAAAAAAAAGTTGGAAAAAAAAAAAAGAATACCTTCCTGATCCCTTTACAGTTTTATAGGAAAAAAAAAAAGAGACATTTAAACAAAGGGAAAATATCCATGGTTCTAATTACCAGATGAGAATATAAAACTGATTCTGTCTTGTCTGGTAAATTTTTAAGATGTAGACCAATTTTAAGTTTTTAGAAAACTAAGAAATATCTGTTATTCACTTTAATGGTATATTAAATCCACATTAGAGAAAAACCAGCGTAATTAATTTTAAGATTTGAGGATTGATACCAGTTCTCAGTAGGCTGAGAGGCATTGTTTTCATAGTCTGGAGTTTCTGAAAAGTAATACTTCTTTTTTCAACCTATATGCTAAAATTGGAAATATTATAGATGCCGTATCTGTAATATTCCTGAATCAAGACAGATTCTGAGTTACGTTCAAAATTAGATGTTTGCAGTCAACAGATATGAACTGATCAGTGTGTTAATAGCTGATGTTTGAAGTACCTTGTTTGTGTACCCAACCAGTCAGGTCTTCAAATAAATTTTCTCACTTTTTAGGGCTTTTATAGTGTCACTATACTGTTTTAGCTGACTTTTCCAGTAGGCTGACTGCCCCTTTGGGACAGATTAATCTTAATCAGACTACACACCTGAAATCAGTGGCTTATTTGAAATTGTGTTAACTGCATCAATTATTAACAAGGATTTTTTTTATTTAAAATATGCAGTTGATTAATTCATTAGGAAAATTGAGATTGTGTCATCCAGTTTCTTTGTTCTTGTTTGTCAACAAGTAGGCACAGCCAGCCTCAGTCTATAAAGTCAAGCTACTAGGAGTAAGAGTGTTACATCTTTCATGATAATTTTTACTTCCACAACAAGGCTCGGTCCCATAATCAGAATAAGTACTTCTAGGACATTTCAAAAGGTTTTTAAGGGTGAATTTAGGGGTTGGAGGGCGATACAGTATGTCTGAGTAGTTACAGAAAGAGAGGAATCAAAGGAATTTTAGAAATTATAAATTTTAAAGTAGCTATCTATCTAAAAGTATTTTTTTGAGCTACCTTTAAAACCAACTATATTAAGAATGTTTAGTCTACCACAGAACACTGAAGAAAAAATAAAATTTTGTGTTATAGTGGTGTTTCTAAGCTGATATTCCTTAAATCTATTATTTAGCAGTCATGAGATACCTTTTTACCCTGATGGAAAAGAGCCAGCGTCTCCTATATTTTTTGATTATGTGAAAATTAATCATGTTTTAAATCAGTTTAGTCTTAATAGAAGAAAAGTAACTGGATTTTTGGTTTATTTTCAAAGTTCTTGTGAATATTTTATTTTGTTATTGATTAGTTATTACTTTGCTAAAAAAGTCTTTGACCTCTAGACATGAGCAGAGATTGGTAATAAATAAAATTCTAAATTAGAGACAGCTTCAATTTTTAAAATTCTTAGATTGAAGGAGATATCCTCTAAAGAGAAAATTGCTTAGTCTAGCCCAAATACTTACATATAACCTTTACAGAATTATTGTAGATTTATAGATTAATTGACCTGGTTATTTGTCCTTATGTATTGCTCTGTACATTTGATGTTTTATGTCAAAAATATTGGCAGTCTTATGCAAAATATGGTGGCCCAGAAATATCTGTGAAACTTAGCCTTTGCCCTCTCTGTTGAACTCATGAAGTATGATTTTTTCCACTAAATTCCACTCTTCCCTGAGGTTTGCAAACTTTGTAAATACCTGTCTGGAAATTGTACTCTGATTGTACTCTTCGAAACCTGAAAAAGAGTGACGTCTGTATAGAACAGACTTCAGAGAGAAATTTTTTAGTGTTATGTAGCTGAACCTCTTTGAATAATGAAACTTAAACTAATTTGATTTTCTATTTCTAAATCTATAATGTTGATGTATTTTTTTCTATACTAGCCTTGTTTTAACTTGTATTTATTGTTTTTTAGGTATCGCATGTACAGGAAAAGCCAAACAACAGGCTTCCCTTCTCTAATCACAATTTTTTCGGCACCAAATTACTTAGATGTATACAATAACAAAGGTAATTGTTTTTAAATCCTTCTTGCAGTCTTATATAATGTGTATTCTTAAGCTGTTTTATTTTGGTTCAGTCTTAAGTTAATTGTTGACCATTCTTTTCTTCTCTTACTTTTTCAGTTATTGTATGATACACAGTTTGCGTTTGTTCTCAGGGATACAGATTCAGTTGGTCAGTGGTTGGGACCAGGCGCTGTTATTTTTCAGATGTTTTCTAGGACAGTTTAATATGTAGCAGAGTTGACAGCTGCTGCTGTGATAGATGTAGACTTTAAAAGAAATAATAATTAGAAGTAATCCAAAATCATGCTTCTTAAAAAGCATGTGGATTTAAATAATGGGGTGATTGTGCGTGGAATGTAGAAAAAGAAGCAAAAAAAAAAGAATAGAAAAGGTATAGCTTAAAGTTGAAATTCAAGTTGCATTTATTCAGCACCTACCCTGAATCAGCTTCTGGGCTAGACAAATGTGTGTTTATTTCTTTAAAATATTAATTAAATTTCAAATATTATTAGCTACTTCACCCCCTCCTTTTTTTAATACAGAGAGAGGCCCTGTGGTTCGTTACAGTGCTCAAGGTCACTCAGTTAGGGCGTAATGAACTGGGATCAAACCCATTCTTTGGTTCAGTGTGCTGTGCTTTCTTTCTGAAACTCCATACCTGTGTGCCTCAGAGTGATAAAAAAAAAAATCAAGAGAGCATTATATGCTTACTGTGGGAAAAAGAGGGAGAGCCAGCAATGTATCATTACTTTATTTCATAAAAATAATCTCTTTGTTTAGAAATAACGTGAAGTGTGTGTAGCTGTCAGAATGGGTCATAAATGTGAAAAAGCCATGAACTCCAGCAGGCACTGGTCTGGATGTTAGACACGGGCAGCATGTCTCAGGGTGACTTTCTGAGATTGAGAGAAATGGACACGTGAAGAGAAAGACAATCAGATGATCTGCATAGTGTCACACATAGCCCAGGAGTGGCAGAAAAAGGCAGCCTGGTTTCCAAGGCCATGTGAAAACTCTGGGAATTAGGAGTCATGCCCCTGGCTTAGATCAGTTGTGATGGGTGTCCGACTGTGATGGGTGGCCTAGGCCTGGTGTCCAGGATACCTGATGTGAACCTTGGCCACCTTTGTTCCCAAGCAGCTGTGGAGTGTCCTCCGTCCTTAACAGCTCATTCCCTTGGTTTCCCTCACATATTCCATCCTCCAATTCCTCTTGCTCAGAGCTAGACCCTACCCCCCATATCTGCCAGAGTTATCAGGGGTCCTGCTTCAAAAGGCAAACCTCAGTGCCACCACATATTTCATCCTGGCGTGCTTCCTCCCAAACAACTCCCTGTGTCCTAGGGATGGAACATGTGACTCTCAGACTCCTCTCCCCGCAGTCCAGAGAGTGGCCTGTGCTGGATGGAGTTGGCTATAACAATGCAACCGTTTCCACTGCTGTTCTGAGTGTAGACGGTCCTCCCCTTGCCAGGAAGCACGGCTATCAGTGGGTGCAGTGCAAATTCTGTCACAACTGTGGGGTGCAGGTGTGGGTAGTGGGCACAGTTTCTGGAAGAGAGGAGCTGCCTTTAGTAGTCCATGGGAGGAAGAATGTACAGTCAAATAAAACACATTCTCTGTATGCACATCTTGTAGGCAGTTGGCAAAGTAAGACATTGGGGTGATTTAACAAAACTATAAGACCCAGTCTGATGTGACGGGTACCTGTGATCCCAGCTACTCCGCAGGCTGAGGCAAGAGAATCACCTAAGCCGAGAAGTTAGTTGGAGGTTGCTGCGAGCTGTGTGACACCATAGCACTCTACCCAGGATGACAAAGTGAGACTCTGTCTCTAAAAAAAAAAAAAAAGACCCAGTCTGATTATTGATTAATTATAAACTAAGAGAACCAAACACTAAATTTGTTTGACAGGCGATAATTTTCTAGAATGGTCAGAGAAGCTCTTCATATTAACTATAATATGGATATGAAAGAATGGTTAACATTTGATTAGAAAGAAGGAAATGTAAAGTCAAGGTCAGTGAATTTTGTATGAAACTGATGGTTGGGTGTGGATTCTCAGTCTTGCAACCAAAGTCCCCTGAGGTAATGGCAAAGAGCTCAGGAGCTCGGTAGGTCATATTGCACATCTCACCTTGATCCTATAATTTATCAAAAGGATATAGATTTTATTCTATAGCATTAGATATTTTCCTATTAAACCTAAGAAGGAAATGCCCCCCCAAAAGTCATTTTCTTACCAGAGACTAATTGCTAAGTGGTACTTACTATGCTTACAAATTTTCTGATCTCTAAACACAAATAGCAAAAAGAAAAAAATGAAGAAAATTGAGATATTACTTCATAAAAACAGATTAAGACTCTTCCCATATGTTACAATTCTATTGCATGATACCAATAGCTATTTTTCACATAAGATGTGTGTCGCTTCTTTTTGTATAGTTCTGACTGAACAAGGTTGAGACTTAAAAAAAAAAAAAACAGACACCAGGATATCATTTTGTGTTTCTGTCACTGTGTTCTTTGCCCTCTGGGGTAGATCGCTTATCTTATCTCTTAAGAAGGGGATAGAAGCATTTCATCTTGGGAACCTTTTCATAAAAGAAAAAAATTTTTTTAGAAAGAGATAAACCGATAAGGAGAAAGCTGTATCCTTCAGTTTGAGCATAATTTCAAAAGACTTTTGTGTAAAATTTCTGAAGCACTTTAAAACTATTATGCTAACAGTGTATATACATTATGTGGGAGTGGGAGTCAATTATTCACTGCTAAAGTGAGAATTACTGTATTTGAATAAAATTAATGTTAACTAGAATTTTTAAAAGCAGTACAATAAAATTGGACTGCAAGCACCTTCCAGACACGGTCAGTAGAAAAATAGCTCTGAATAATCTGTGATTTGATTCTTAGAAACAGGTGATCATAAAGGACTCTGCAATTATAACCTAATAGTTAAAGTATACTTTGATTCTTAAAGCTCTGTGGATTATGACAGCAGTCATACTCTTCAACAGAGTGAAAGAATGAGAAAAATAGGTTTATTCTGCCTTCTTAAAGCCAACTTAAAACAGATTGTAATCAGATTCATTTTTAATGTCCTGTAGTTGTGATTAGTAGTTCACACTTGCCTGAAATTATGATAAAACCTCTGTAAGTTGACCACCCAAGGGACTGTAACAAACCAGCGGAGGTGTTCAAAATAAGGAACTAGACCTACTGATCTGTACGTGTAGTGCCTGTTTGGTCTGTGAAAATTAGGTCAGTATAAGGAGGTGGTCAGTGTTGGAGGGTGGTCAGCTATGGAGGCTCTATTCTAATAGGCAACATTCAGAACATTCTGTGGACTCGACTCAGCGTCCCGTCCCTTGATGGAGCCCACTGAATTCTTTCCAGCCTGTGCCAATGTGCCTTCTTTCCTGTCTTCCTGCTTCTGTTTCCTCACTCTGACAACTATTGGAACAAGATGCCAGAGCAAAAAATCGTTGGCTTAAATCACAGCTCTGCCATTAAAGAACTAAAGAACTAACTCATTTAAATTTTTAGGACATGCAATGACATCTCTATAAAATGAGGGGGAAAAAAGTTCTTTTGTGAATAATACATACAGTTGCTTTGAAATAACATGCCATGCAATAGTAAGATATATCATCATTGAACATTTTATGTCATTACTCTGCCACGTTAGTGCTGGGCTTCACAGAAGCAGGCAGGTAGTACCCCTCTTCCTCCACTTCTTACGTAGGACTGTGCTGTATGGCTCAGCTTACCTTTATGACCTCGTTCAGTACTTCTCTCTGGGACAACCTTTGCTTTAGCCAAATTATTCTGGTCATTGGCCTGAACGCTTTTGGCTTTCTGTTCTCTACGTCTTTGCCCATGTGCTGCTTTTCATCGAAATACTCTCCTTGCTCTTCTGCCTATCTGAACAGACTAGACCCACTCCATCTGTGTTTCCATGAAGACTTTTGTCATAGATCCTGCTCGGAATGTCTGAAATGCTGGTCATTTTTTTTTTCCTTACACTTAGCATTTACTATTTTTTTCTAGTTAGATTTTTCATACATTCCTGTCCCTTCTTAGTTAGATTATAATAAGTTTGAAGCATGCGGCTTCTTGATAGACATTGTAAAGCCAAGTTGCATGCCTCGTTCATGGAATGCAGTCAGTAAAGGCATTGACTGAAGTGTTGTTGTTTTTTTTTTTTTTCCCTGAGAATTAATAGCAAGACAGTGCTGAAAAGTACCCAGTCAATATTGACTCACAGATCTTCATCTCACTTTAAATTACTACTATAACCAGTGCTGATGCACTTTCCAAATTGGAATTAAACATTGGCAGAGTACTTTGCACATTTGAATTGTGAGTATTCTCATGTATATTTGTAGATCTAAAGAAAAAGCCATTTCCTTTTTACTCAGATACACCAAGCAGAAGAAAAAAACAATGCAGTAATGACACATAGCTTTATTTATTTTTTAATAATTTGCCAGCTGCAAAAGCGACTTGAACCTTATCCACTTATCAGTACAGCACACCTCTATTGATAACTGGTTATATACCAAATACCATCCTAGGTGTTGGAGATATAAATGGTCTTTGCCTTGGTGTCCTTAAATATCTGGTAGTATGATAGACAGTAAAGAAATAATTTTGCCAGTATTTATTTATGTATATTCAGAGAATACAACAAAGAAAAGAGTGAGATATGAGATTGCAAATTCGTATGGGGGCACAACTCTGAGGGAGTGGCATTTAGGCAAGCTCAGTGGGACTAAAATCTCTCAGGATTGAGAAAGACCATGGCAGATGTCAGTACTGGCTTAAGTGACTCAGTTTGGCCAATAACTGTAATGAACCTCTGGAAAAATGTGTTTTAGATCTTAATATAAACGCTTCAGTCTATTTTCTCCCTAGAGATCCCCTGTGCTTCAGAAGAATCTAATGTAAGTGACGGTAGCTTTCTATGTGGGGTACCAGCTCTCCGTAGTTCATTTGGGTT